GAGTAGAAACGAGAATATTAACGTTCACAGGCAGCTGACAGTTTAGCAGCCTGTGTGTGTGTGTGTGTGTGTGAATGTTAGTTTTCCAGTTGTCGTGTCTGTCTGAACTTGTCGTTCCATGTGTTGGCCTCATACTGTCCAGCGGACGAACGCAATGCACACGGAGGCTTTGGTACTTTGGAAAAGCTTTAGTTATAATACGAGATGCGGAACAGGTCCCCTTGTAAGTGATTTACGGGCGATCAAGGGTGGCTTTCTCTTTTGTTTCCTATCGAACATCTATCGTCCTAATCACTCCTCCTCCTTTGTCTTTGTGTTTTACTCTCTAGTAGCACCTCAAATCTTGGGCACATAATATGACCACAATGTCTTGTATTCTAAGTGCCATGCAACTCTTACTAAAACTTTTAAAATACGGTGTCTCTCCATTGGATGAGCTTGAAGCTAGCTTTGAAAAGCTTTAGTAACAAAGTTATTTCGAATACCAGATGTGGAACAGGTTACCTTATGTTCATTGTTTATTATGTGCTTGATGGCCGATTGTACTTTGGACGGTTGGAGGATGCCACTGGTGTTCATGCTTCTTCTCTTTCTCTATCTGTTTGTCCAGTGTGACCTTCAAAGTCAAACATGTGGGTGGTTGGCGGGTGCTCTGGTGTGGTTTGCTTCTTCTTTCCTATTAAACATTTATCGTCCTAATCTCCCCTTCTTTATTATGTTTGTTACTCTCTTGCAACACCTCTAATCTTCTGGCGCTCATATGACCTTATGCAGTTGCGAGCGCCGTAAAAACCACTACTAAAACTAAACTAAATCAAATGTGTTTGTTTTTTAAGATCGCTTATCGAATCGGCTCATATTGTGCTAACTTTTGCACCTCCATGGAAGAAAATTTAGCTGGCCTCGACTCCATTCGGAATGAATTCGATTAGCAGTGTGCACTGGGCTTTATTTACTCTTTCTTTGCAGTAAATGGTCGTCACGGTATCGACGTGCTTATGTTTAGTCAAAAACAAACAAACGGACTTGTGATATCGCCGCCCTTTCTTTTTCACACTATAGTCTCTCTACTACTGTCGTTTTCGATTCCAGTCGAAAGGGAGCTGATTTTGCGCTTACCTGCTAGATCTATCTGTAAACTGTGACTCGCTGTCTCTTTTTAGTGATTAGATTTAAAATACAAAACGAAACAAAAATGAACTTCCGCTCCCCCACGTCAAGAATTGAAGGTCAACTCTTTCATTTGTGGTACATTGTACTTTTCTCTTGGCCGAAGGTATTGTTAATCTTTGTCGAAGGCTAAACCTAGAACTAAACAGAGACCCCGTTCTCTGGACGAGCCCCATTTAATGGCGCCGGCCTCGAGAGCTCAGATACATGTATTTGCCCAACCGTTGGTTTCCCTGAGAGGTGGGACAATAACATTGCGCCACCGACACCAGCCCAGACACTAGGTTGACAGTTCCAGCCTTTATTGCCCATGGTTTGCGGCAAACTTGACTCGGTCAGCAAAGTGCATCGGAGCTGGATGGGTCAGGGTCTAGACGGTCATATAATCATTTATGATCGCCTAGGTCAGGGTCAGAGTGTTGGCGTGGGGAGAGGGACGGAAAAA